GACACGATCTGCATTTTAACCATGAATTCTGTGTTCAAGGTCGTAGCGACCACAGTTCTCGCATAAATTTGTTCGACATTCCAAGGAAAAATACACATGGCGACAATTTGTACGTGAAAAAATCAGAATTGTGTGAGAGTTCATTGCTTCAGATGTCCGCTTTTTATACATTCTTCTTCTTGTACCGCAAAGTGACTTTTAACACGTTTATTTCTGTGGTCAGTGGCGTACCTAATACTTCATTTCTTATGATGGTTTTAAAACTCGGTCAACAGAACATATCACAACACACCCTTTTCGCAACCAACAGCAAAACAGTGAAGCTAAGACCTTACGAGAAAAATAGGGTTAGGCAAACCAAAGACACGCGAAGCATGATACTTAATATGTATAATTAATTATTAATAAAAAAGAAATGAAGAAATTCTAGAAAAATTTAAAGTCGAACCAGTCTCTAAATTTATTCAGAATTATCGTGTCAATTGGAAAGATCACATTGAAAGAATGGACTCTAATAGAATCCCAAACCAATTTTTGAACTACAGATCGAATGGAAAGAGAATCCTGGGAAGACCGTTAAAAAGATGGAATGAAACCGTAATAGGCCACTTGGCCTAATACTTGATGAATATGACGATGATGATGAATTATTAATAAACAGGGAAACATTAGCCACGGTGGTCTAGCGGTTAGAACGCTGGCCTTGTAATCCTGGGGTCTCGGGTTCCATTCCCGGCGGTGCCCGAATTTATAACTTGTGTTGGGCAAGGCCGTGGTCTAGGTAACACGGAGTTTTCCTCCGGGGGCTTCCCCGGTTTCTCCGTGGCATCCCAACACACACAGAAGAAGGCAAAGGCAAACCACTTCTGGATCATCTGCCAAGAACGTATATGAACAGGTCCCAGTCCAAGAAAAGGATGGAAGGATCCTGTTCATATGGACCTGTCGTCAGACAGAACACAAAATAAAATAATAAATGGAAACATTAGTGGCGGTGTTTATTGAGATGACGTCTACGTTACTGGCTTAAAGCTGTCAAAATGATCGAACATGGAGGCAACAATTAGATCTAAATATTTCAAAAACATAAGTAGAAAAACGCTTGGTGTGGTACGATATCTACTAGCTGCTAAGACAGACTGTTGCTCCCTGCGCATGCGTAAGACTAAGGGACCTACGAAAATATTACCACAATTAGTTTTTCGTGAATAAGCAAAACCTCGATCAAGGCGGGTCAGCTGCACGGCTTACTTCCAAAAATGGTAGTAATTTCATCACACATTTTACATTCTATCAGACAACACAGCTTTTATTGGCGTTTAATGAATAAAAGGCATATCAAAAGGGATAGGAGGTTCAATTCAGAAAGTTAGGTCTTGCTGGTGGTTCATATTTTTTGGGGGCCTGAGAAAATAAATGGAAAATAAGTAGTCGATTCATATTCCTCATCCTTTAGTTATTTAACAACGTCGTTTAGAATAAGGGTCTATTTATATATGAACGTAAAGATAACGACACGAGCCCTTGCCGATTTTTCAGAAAATATTATTCAACGTTTTTCAATAGAACTGTTTATATTGACTCCGAGCTCGTCCGTTCCACGAACGAGTCTCGCCCAACTTACGTCTCCAACGATATTTGTCCTAAACAGTTCCATTGAAAAACGTTGAGTAATATTTTCTGAAAAATCGGTGAGGGCTCGTGTCGTGCTCGTGTCGTTATCTTTACGTTCCTATATAAATAGACCTTAATAAGGTTGAATAGCATCGAATTATATCGAAAGATGGGCGTGGTCGACTAGGTAAGGAGACGATTGTAGCGTATTTTAAGGTACTATGCCGGTATTTGTCTGAATAGGCTGAGGAAAAGCACGAAGATATCATTGTGGACAATGAGTGACACATATTCGAGCCGGTACCAACACGTCTGAGCACTACTGCTTCACCGTCAAGGACTGTGTTACGTAACTCTTGGGGTATTTCCTTTTTTCAGAGAACCAGAGATAATAACTTGAGGAATACACGAAATTCTGAATAATTTTTATTGGTTAAAAGAATTTACGAAGAAATACGGGCATAAGTCGTCACAAAATAGGTAGCCTGTCTCTTCCGGAAAAATTTATCTAGATCTTCTCTAAAAACAATTAGTCAACGACAGAAACTGACAATAATAAAATACGATCGGGAAAAATAAGCAAGGAATTCTTATCACTTTGTTAAGATGGCTCTTGGGCCCTCCCAGTACCCAACGCCATCCAATGGCAAAGTTTATCATTCACAGAGTGCCAAATTAAAACTGTGCTGGCAGCAACAAGCCTTGCTATTTTAAAAAACTGGGATTTGGCAAATAAAGCAAGACTTCCTGTTAGGTAAGAGATATAAAACGTTATACTTCTCCAAATAATTGTTAAGACGCTCAGATCCTACGCGCACCGCATCAACTCTACAGACATCAGCATTTTCATGACATTTACGAAAACGAATTAGTCTTTTCCGTGAACCGAATGAAACACGTGCTACTCTTCAGGCACTCCGACAGTTAAAGCAGATGTCACACAATTATTCTGCCATTGTCCCAAAAATTGTGAAGTTATTTCGATATATTCAGCAGCTTTATAATTCCAAGAGAGAAAAATAGAGAATAAAAAGTTCAGGAGAGAGGTGGGCTTAGAAGTGATAGGATTAAAGAACGTAAATTTCTCATTTGGCCTACTTTTTAATATGATTTGTATCATTACTAATATATTTCAGTGCCTTGTATGAACCTTTTCAGAACACCTAGGAATGCGTGTCGAATGCGTAATTCTATCTATAAAACACCTGAGAACGAGCTACATTCCTTAGCATCTTCAAAGCAAGTGAACAGATGAAAGCTGTGAACCTCGGGTGGAAGGGGGGAAGGCCACAAATATACGCACTTAAAAGTTCAATTCGTGAAGGCAATGGAATGATATTAAATATTTCAATTTCTATCATAAGTGGGGGTTTCGCATCTTGAAATCTCTTATTATATAGTGGATGATAAAACAGGTAGAAGACTGTAACGGAACGCTGGAAATAATTAAAAAATAAACTGAAAATGAACTAACAGTAGCTACAGGAAAGTTAACTCTGATCGATAGTTTCATATGGGATAGAATCGAATGAATAGTATCGATACTATCCTTCGGCCTATGTTAGAACGTCGATACTCCGCTACCCCAGAAGTATTATTTTCAATTTAAATGTGTTTACATGAACACTAAAATAAATATCTATTGTATTCTATAAAATCACGTGATAATAATAATAATAATAATAATAATAATAATAATAATTGCTACATGAAAACATCGTAGTCATTAACAAAGTTCTCCTATGAAGAAATGTAATAATGCGATTGTCGTGCATTATGTGACATCGACCGATTTTCGTGGAAAGTAGCGAAGTTCTCTCATAGGGAAGTCTAAGTTGAACAAAGTATATAAACACATTTCGATACCAAAATCAGCAGAAAATTAAAAATGTAAGCACGGCTATCAGAGAATAACACCAAGTACATGACTATGATAAAAACATATGCTGGAAATGTTTGCTGTTACAGGTAGCCCTCGATAGAACACGGTCGCATTATTGTAACTCCTTCTTTCCACGACTAGATTCCGAATGATTTTGCAAACACCGTCAAATATCCTATCATTTAAATGCTTCAGAGTTGGCAAAGCCCTTCAAGAATAGTTGCATTCTGTTAGTACATAGTTTTCATGCCCCCCAAAAGTTTTCAGATGTTAACTATATTATTCTTGTTGTTGCATGAGCTATTGTTAAGGGCGTGATGTTTCAACCATTAGCAGAAAGTTCGTCTGATAAGCATTTAACGATCGGGAAACACGTTTGACTGTCGGCTGTTGATTTCGAACTATCTTGTTTCGTGTTATTGTGTTGTTGAAATGGTCACGAATCCTGCGTGACAAACAGCTTCAGGCCTGGGCTGTTAAACTCTTGCTAACAGACCAACATTAAGAGAATCATCACGGATTTTATTTTCCTATTTCATTCGGTGACCCGAAGAATGCTATGAGCAAACATTAAACATACTTACATTCGACAAAACTCATGGAACAACACGAAAAATGTTCCAATATATACAGCGAAAACCAGTACAGGTAGCCCTCGATTAACGCCAGGGATGCGTTACTGGACGAACCGGCGTAATCGGAATCGGCGTAAATTGAAACTCTTTTATAATGTAAATCAATGGGAAGTCAATGACATGCGTTCCCAGCACCCAAACATTGACGAATAATATAATGACATTACATTTAAAGCTCTGATATAATGTAAATAAAATAAAGGGAATTTAAAAAAATATATTTTATACACTTACAATCGGCAATTTGTTGGTCTCCGCGATTGACTGCGATACTTTCATGTGACTGATGTGTACAGTCACCTCTGCTGTTATGCGATAGTTGCATTCATGTAAGACGCCGACCTATAGAAAATCTCGTAGTAAAAATAACCCCGGTACCTCCGCAGAGATTAAATTAGTCCTTTGAAAGTTTAAAGCACCAGGAATTAAGTTGCATAAGAGCAAAGTCACATATCCAAAAGTTTGCATTTCACAAACAGCTTTTACCGATTCATCGATCTCACTGGAGCAAATTCGCTTTAACGAAACATACGTAATTGCAGAGATGACTGTGTTTATAATTTTTATTAAAAATCAGCGATGTAAGAATTACGATTTAGTATAAGAATCAGTACGAGAAACATTGTAGAACGTTATAAATAATAGTAAAATAATGTTTCTTCACTTTTTAACTTGCTGGTTTCAAAATCGGCGTTATTCTGAATCGGCGCAAATTGGACCGGCGCAAATCAAGGGCTACCTGTATTTAGTTGAGAAAATGTTATTGTCTCGTATCCTTGACTGAGTTAAGAATAATGACGTCAAGGGCAGATTTAGATGTCACTTAATGTGCACTATTGTCACAGTAGGAAAATCAAGGAGGCACTCACCTTCTTCTTGCGTGGCAGTTCATCATATTCATCGATGACAATGCCCTCATCGGTAGTGACCTGCGACCAAAATGTGGACGTGGATCCACCTTCGCTGAGGGGTGGAGAGGGCGTCGAGCTCCTCCAAGAACACGCGTCGCTGCTGGGGCTAGGTGACAAATGCTCCCCCCACGACAGACCTGCACATGCAAACACAAACTTTTGGGTAATATAAAAAGAGGGGTTTTCTGGACAAAGATGAATAACTATCAGCTTTTCGGGTAAGATTCTACCATGGAGGTAATTACTCAATACCTTTAATCTCAACAGGAAACTAAGAAGATATACGTTGTCACTTCCTTGGTAATGCAGCATTCAAACGTCCAGTAATCTTTAAGGAATTCTCCAAATACAAACATCTTTGTCTTCAGTCTTCTAGATAAATGCGCAAGTTCGTTATCTCTTATCTTAACCGAGAGCTATTCAATGGTAATTCTCTGATTTGTCCTAGGCCACAGGCCTGCATAGTCGGTCTACAGATTGCTTAAGATACTAACGATAAGATGTACTCCTAAGAATAACAGTAATTCACACTGATAGTCAATTATTTATCAACTTTCCCGCCCACCCAACAGGTGTCATCGTGTTCATTGTTTGAACTGTGCTGAATGATATCACGGGGAAAGTCCTTCTTTTGTCACTGTAGTACCAAATCCATTGTTTTCTACTGTTTCGAAATTACATTTAATCTTCTCCCTGACATGAGAAGTTAAATATCTTTTACAAAATTCCTCCCACGATTTCTGTGCTAAGTATCGATACTAACATAAGGTCATAATAAATAGGCATTTATCGATGTCTTACCAAACGAGATCTTTAGTCGATATTACGTACAAGTATTATAAAGTCGAAAGTTTTCAGTTAAACTGCCACATTACTAATAATTTCTTTATAGCTATATTTGCATAAACGTTTGTACAAATACACCTTACATCGCAGTTGGCTTTCTTATAATTGTTGTCTATTTGTTATATTGTTCAGTGACAAATTTTTCCAATTATCGGGTTCTGTAGTTGTATTGACAGACCAACAATGTCTCTGGGTTAGCGAGCAAGATAAGTTTTCGAATTCCAAAGCCGTCTAATAATCCTTTTGTTATAAATGCGGACTTTTGCTAGGATAATTGTAGACTTAAATTCCCGTGAATAAGAGAGACAGAACGGGGGAATAGCTTAAGTAATAAATTTTACTCTTCATCTAATAGTACTAAAGTAATAAAAATGATGGGAATGTAACACGCATGCCGGAAACAAGGAAAATTTAACGTAATTCTTCCGGTCCAGAATTTGAACTCATTCGTCCTTTCGAAAGTAAAAAGCATGTGACTCGTGGGGATAACTAACATGCCAATTTGTGACAATGTTTTTGAATAAAATTAAACATTAAACAGAAGTAAAATTACGCGACTCATCAAATAATCCTCCACGCGAGAAATGACTAATTGAAACGACAGCCCAGCGCCTACAGTGTTGACGAAGACTGCACGCGACACACTTACAAGAAGTTGCCTCGAAAGGCAGCCACGTACAGCGAGGCTGATGCTAGCAATGTCAAGAAAGCTTGCAGACTCGACCTTCATGACACTGCAAGTTTCGTCCATAGTCCTCTAGAATGATCATAATTACCACGGATGTCAACTCGATCACAGACTTTGACGTGGTACCATACGTCAATCCTACGAATGAGTACCCAGCACCACATTTTCCTGAGAAATATCTCAACAATCAGGGCCTAGCAAAGTAAGGTTTGTGGCCACATGCGGCCCTCGAAAATCGTAACCAGTTTATGGACACAGGAAAAAAAATTACTATGTTTTTAGAAAACCGAAAAGCTTGGAAATTAGTTAAACTTTTATTTATTTTATACTTTTAATCGGGTTAAGATACTACTGATGCTGAGGGAAGTTTATTGATGTTTATACTTTCTCTTACAGCATAAATTTCTAGGCAGCTGATATGAGGAATTTAGCCATCCCTACTACTAATGTACCGCTACGGTGGTCTAGCGGTTAGAACGCTGGCCTTGTAATCCTGGGGTCTCGGGTTCGATTCCCGGCGGTGCCCGAATTTATAACTTGTGTTGGGCAAGGCCGTGGTCTAGGCAACACGGAGCACACAGAAGAAGGCAATGGCAACCCACTTCTGGATCATCTGCCAAGAACGTATATGAACAGGTCCCAGTCCGAGAAAAGGATGGAAGGATCCTGTTCATATGGACCTGTCGTCAGACAGAACATTAAATAATAATAATAACTACTAATGTAGTTCTGGTAGTTCGTTATAAAGAAGGCAACCTCTTTCATTATTTGAGCTATACGTTTCTTTTTTAATATTTCTTCATGTACCGTTCTAGATAACGTAGAAAGTACGTTGTGGTTGAGAAGGTAATGTTTGCACCACCGAACTTGTATCCACGGTAACAGTGTACCTCTACCGCTCTAAATGTTGTAATTACACTACAAGTATTACTCCGCCTCCTTTCTTATCCATGAAGAGTGGCTTAGGTCAACACGAAAGACGACAACAAAATAGAGAAATAAAACTATATCCGATTTTTGCAGTAATGAACGCATTCAGTGGGTACGGGGTGTGAAACATCTTCACTACCCCATACGTCTTCATGACATGGCGTCACCACAAGACCGACTGTTTTGATTTTACACCAAAGCAGGCAAGTATAAAATGAGTTTAGTAAACAAGAGGCTTGTACGTGCAAGGCCTGGGTGTCGGAAAGACCGTACTGCAAACCGAACTACGTCTTTCAATTCTTAACATCACGAAGCATTCAAGGAAAGGTATGGCGATGTCGTAACGCTGCACCAGTCGGTTGGCACGACGTGACGTTTCTTTACGCAATCTGAGTCTATTCGACACCAATAAATAGCCTCTGCGGTTGTGACCCATTTGGAATTTGATAGCACGCGCTTTTGTATCAGATAATGTGAAAGTACGGTACGTCATGAAAGCAATAGGAGTTAATACGGACGTTTATTAATTGTTGCGGGATTGTCATGAAAATTAACCAATGTTCTTCGCATTAGTTGCATTTATCAGTTTAAATATTCACACACACGCTTCGGTAGCAAGTCCACCTTTCCTCGGAAATTATGATTTCTTTAGACCTTAATTACTTTTGTCATTTTTTCTTCATTTCTTCCTTGCTTCCTCGCTTTCTTCCCATCCTTCATTTCTTTCTCGAGTTCTCTTCATTTCCCCCTTTACACCCTCTTTCTTTACCTGTTTCAATCTCTGTTCCTGTATTTCTTAATTTCTTCTTTCCCTTCTTCCTTTGTAGCAACTGTGCCTGCCTGTTTCACTAAAATATGCTCATTTTACTGAATTAATAATGCCAGTTGAATTACAGAAGTGTGAACGCCAGTTGGATTACAGAAGAGTGAACGCCAGATGGATTACAGAAGTGTGAACGACATTTGGATTACGAAGTGTGAACGCCAGTTGGATTGCAGAAGTGTGAACGCCAGTTGGATTACGCAAGTGTGAACGCCTAGTGGATTACAGAAGTGTGAACGCCAGGTGGATTACAGAAGTGTGAACGCCAGTTGGATTGCAGAAGTGTAAACGCCAGGTGGTTTACAGAAGTGTGAACGCCAGATAGATTACAGAAGTGTGAACGCCAAGTGGATTACGGAAGTGTGAACGCCAGGTGGATTACAGAAGTTTCAACGTCAGTTGAATTACGGAAGTATGAACGCCAGTTGGGTAACGGAAGTGTGAACGCCAGTTGGGTAACGGAAGTGTGAACGTAAATTGGATTACGGAAGCGCGATGTTCAGAACAAGGAAAGAGCTGCCACAGCCAATTTTAAGACATTATACCAGCATTATCCTGAAAAAATGGAGAAAAAGCACGAAATATCTCATTCCGAATAGACGGATTCCCAGGCGGACGCCTTACTGATGACTAATTTGCTGGTGCCAAACCCGTTTGCGTGAACCGCCGCACCGATCCTTCTGGTATGAAGAGAACCGTTGGGTGTGCTACATAACCGCAACGATTACACTTTTTATTAAGCGCTCACACAAACAAAAAAGGCCAGTCCCTACTTCCGGAAACTGCTAGTGAATGCTGATCTGACCATGCGGGCGGGGATACACGCGCTGTTGGACACGGGATTACAGTAACGTCCAACACTGGTACAACTCCCGCAAAGTAAAACGCGCTAATACTATTTGAAAAGTGATACAAAACAAACTGAGGAGTGTTTGCTCCGGCTGAAAGATCAGTGGGTTATTAGGCATTCTTTGCACGAAATGCATAGCGAAAACGAATTATGGGCTAGTCGTATCTGTATGTCTCTCCGTCCGTCCACTCGATTCAACTCGAGTACCACTGGATGGATTTGAATTAAATTTGATTTGGAGGTAGTGCTATTCTGTACGACCTCGAAATCGTACTTTTTTATATCCTATGAGCGGTGATTACAAAATGACGGACGAGGAAAGTCGTGAGGTGGACACTGAGGAGCTTCGATCTGGTGGCCAAAGGGAGAACTGTCGATTTGATACGTCTAAATGTAAGTTGCAAAGAACGCGTGAGGATATTGTTTGTAATCTGGTACGGAAAACACATTCCAAGCTTGTGTATCTGCTAGAAGGGTGGAGGCCACACAAAAATCTGACAGCTTCTAACAATTAGATACATCAGTCGACAAGCACCAAATAAGCATCAATGAGAAACAGGCGTAATGGAAAATAATACTCGTCGATCGTGGTCTTCTTGGTTGTGACGCCGTGTGCATGTCTGTGACATTTTACTAACAGAAATTTAAAGCGACCTGTAAGTATGAAAAAAAGTTTGCTTTTTTCGTAAAATTTTCGGCAAGGGAAGAGTTTGTCAAATTGTCACACGTGAAAGTCAGAATACAAGAAAGAAAATCCAATGCAACTGAAAGAAAGAAAATCAAATATAAATAAATAAGTAAACAAACATACAAGGAGAGAAAGTATTATGGCTTTCTGACATGAGGTTCTCACGGCGGTGAAGATATCAAACATGTCTTTCTGGTCTGTGAGGCCGTGTGGTGTTCTAGGTGGATACCAACGTCTTGGAGGCACTCACTTCACCCTGAACATGGAGGCGATACATCCTTCCGAAACATTGTTAACTACATTCTGTGTGAA